CTATGGGTATGAATAGAAAAAAAGGATCTATGAAATTGTATTTTTACTGGGTTTCTGCGGGTCGAGGGCGTCGACGTTGTGGTTAGATAGTGCTGAAGTCACAAAGCAGACCCCTTGATCAAGGAATCAAGGACATATTATCAAGATGTTTTCTTGGTTCTAAATTGGTTCAAGTCTGGATGGAATGTCTGCTGATTTGAGGGCACGTAATATGATATTATTACATTTGGTGTGCCGTGGAAGAAGGCCTCGAGAAAAGCGGCAGTGAAGGCAATGTCTACACTTGCGATCAACACTGGTTCTACAATGTTTACTCTGAAACGGTAGGACAATTTTGTAATTAGGCCGTAGTCCAATAGAAAATCTTAGCTCGTCATCGGAAAGCAACAAATCATGTTAAAGGGTATAGCTTCCTGAAACTCGTAACATGATCCTTGATTGGTGAAAAACTGTGAGATCATCATCGAGTAGGCTGGATTTTAGATAAGCGAAGGAGCCTTCCTTGAGTGGAATATCCATGTCTTTCTGTGAACACCAGGAAGGTCATCGAGTGTTTGGGATAACGGAATTGTCCCAAGTCTGGGCTTCAGTTAATAAGGGGTAATTAAAGTGAGAAAGCTGACTGTGAGTCAGATGAAATAGGTGAAGCCATAAAACCACTAATGGAAAAGTTAGAGGTGAGAGAAGCCGATATCCATAAGCTTGCATGGAAATGATGCTTTTAACCATTAATTATAGTTGAAGCAGAGTTTAAAGATCCCTACAGCAAACGATTTGACATAAGTTTCAAATGATTTAAGTAATTCGGGAAATTGAAGATTTAGGGATCGAGGAGCCTAGTGAAGGTAATACTAAATTTGAACAAAAATATCGACAATTATTAAAATAATTAATGAAATTATATAGTTTTTATAAAGTCCTTATTATTTTATTAAAAAATTCCTTTTCAATATTATTCTTCTAACAATATTTTTTTTACAGTAAAGTATTAAAACATGATTTACCTGGTGTTGTAGGGAAAGGACAACAACAGTCATATCGATCTTGTATCATTTTATTTGTAGGTCTAAGATCACAATAATAATTATCCGGACAATTAATGCCTCCTCTAACGCCGCATATGGCATTCGGTAATGCTGCGCTGTTCGGACACAACCTGCAATCAATAGGTATGTTAAATTATTAAAAATATAAATAAAATGTTTTTAAATTAATAAATTTGGAACAAACATTCTTCAAATAGGAACCTACAAAATATTTTATTAAATCCAAGTCCGCCTACAAAAAGCTGGCAAATATTTTTTATATCTTGGTCCGATTCATTGCTCGCGAAGTTATGGGCCAAATTTTAAAAAAAGCTTATAGGGTAGGTACTTCAAAAAATATCTATTTAATTTATTTTCATAAATTTTTTATATTTGTTATAAATATTTATATTTGTTCACTTTATTAATATATATATCATGTAAAAAAATTGTGAAATATATCCCAATTTGTAATTTTTTAAAAACTTTTTTTTTATTTATAAATCTAATTTATAATTGTAATAATCAATCATTCAAAAAAAATAGAAATAGGAAAGAAATTTAATATTAATATATATATCGGGCTACAGCAGAGCTCTTGTTTTATTGATAATGACACTCTGTGAGATAATTGACCTACCTTGCAAAATCCTTCTTCCTGTTTTTCAATTTTTATATTTAGCATGCTTTTAATTTTTGCATATTCTTAGCGCCATTTTGCATGTTTTTCTGATGTTTTGCGACATTAATTCTCACTTCAAAATATATGCTTAATCTTCTTTTATGTACCTAATACTTCATTCTTGTTAATTTTGTGACATTATGTGTGAGTTGTATGCCAGGTTTAAATATTTTATTTACTTTTGCTATGTCTTTCATCATTATGGAATCAATATTCATAAAAATGAAAAATATAAATTCCTGGTCAATCATTAAATAAAAGAGAAATTTTGGATTCATTCATCATTTTTGATGGGTTATAACTTAGGATTCTGTTGATATAATTAGAGGGAGTTTGCAGAAAATATCGACAATATCATCCTTTTAATCTAAAGATTTATTGAATTATTTTTCGAATTGACAAATTTATTGTCAAACAAAAAGGTTATCAGTTCACCTGTGACCGTGTGTAGTTCAAAAATATATTACTAAAAACAAAATAAAAATAAATATTGCCATACAGAATAGAATTTTAAATTGGTGAAAATATATACACCAAGTTGTGATCATTCATTAGTCATTTTACTATTTAATGATTGTTAAGTGCTGGGTTAGCCCTGTTATTTACTCTAAAACAGTATGAGTAGAAGGCAACCAAACTTAAAATTTCAAGAAAATGTAAATGTAATAAAAAATATTTAAATGAAAAAAAATTTAGGGTGATTATTTGACCATAATAAATTATTTTAACATTTTGAAATTCAATTCAATCTAAATTATTAAATGCCAAAATAAATACATTTCTATTCTTTTGACTGTATTCCGAATCATAACATAAGTTACAAATATCAGTGATATTTCCGATTTAATAGCTAAGGAAATAGCAGTCCAATTATATAAAAAAAATTAAAAAATTTTTTGTCAGTTGAAATTAAGCATTAGCTAAAATCTAAAAGTTGATTACATTAGATCTATGTTAATTTTGTCCTATTTTCATATTTGCTACATATGCCACTTTTTATGATATTAACATATTTTATAATTATATTATTGTTATGCCAAATTTTAAATTTTATAAAAAAAATTATGGATAAATAATTTACAAAAAAATTTATTAATTAAGTGTTGATTTATTCCTTATAAAATTAATAAATTAAAAGTAAATAAAAATTGTGCTTCTATGTTACATTTTATTTTGCACTTTTTAAAATAAATAAATTCACATAATTAAAAATGAAATGGTGCATTTTGAATAAAAAATAAGATAATTCTTATTATATTTATTATCACTTGTATTTTAACTTTGTCAAATAGCTCATAAATTTTTGAATAATTTTTTTTTTGCTTCTATTTGGATGTCATGTAAGATGGCTCTTAAATTTTTGAATTTATTATATAAGTTTTTATTTTAAATCTAAATTTCAAAATGGTATTTCCCAATTTCAATAATTTATACTTGGAAACCTTTAATTCATAACTGACGAGATAATAAATTTTTTTTTAGATATAATATGGGAAAGTGGAATATTGGCTTTTAAATCAATTTGTTATGATTTTGAATGAGTATGATAGTTATTTATGTACAATATTATATTAAAAATTAATGAAAATAACAAACAATCGGGTATTAACCCTTCACTACAAAGGTGGAAAAAACTCCCTTAACTACAAAGGTGGGGTCTATTATACCCCAAATTTTGATTAGCTATATCTCAGAACATATTAAAAATTGAGATCTAAAATTTTAGGTATATATTTAAAAAATATTGGAGATAATAAATACAAAATCTTAGATTAATATTTACTTTCAAAAAAAAAGTTAGACAAATTTTCCTAAAGTTACTGAAATAAAATTTTCTTTTTGAGTACTTCCTTTAATTATGGTATTATCACTATATAAAATTCAAAAAATGCAAATTTTATTAAATATTTTATTAAATCAATGTTGAATAATGATAATTACATAAATTTTATAAAAAAATATCATATATCAAAAAAAATATTAATCATCAAATATCATGTAAAATTTTGAGATAACATTCGCCGCAAATTGTATGCATATGATCTTTACAAATAAATTTTGAACAATTTAAGCAAATTATTGTTGTTTTTTTTATCTTTCACCCTTGGACACTCATAACATCTTCCCTTTTTATTTATTGGAATATGTTTTTCATCAATTATGCTGAGAACGTCCCCTATGTTGTTACGTAATAGTACGAGGGTTCTCATATCTACTGGTCATAAATGGAGTTATCAGTTCCATAGCTAATAATTTTATAAATTTAGACCTTTTTATATTCAACAAATTATTGGCTTTATAAACTATTAGGGCATTTATTATTGAAATATTTATCATAGTATAAAAAATGGTAAGTGGCCATCTATTTGATCTCCTAGATATGGAATATATTGAGCAAAGTTGATCCACTACATCAACTCCTGCTTTGGTTAAATCATAGTTATAATTTCTGGTTTTAACAATTCACCAGTTGTTACATCAATTTTATTATCATAATGTAGTGTTGAAAGCAACACTACATTCTTATACCTTTATATGAAACAATAGTAGTATTTTCTTTTATTTCTCTTTTTTTATTAAAAAATAATGCAGGTAACTGCTTTTTATTTTTTTTTAATAGTCCCTACTATTGTTAGGGAATGTGAAGATAAATAATTAGCTAATTCATAGCTAGTAAACCAATTGTCCATTGTAATACTTCTATTACTTTTTGAAATTGGTTGAATTAGTCTTTCAACTACATCAAATGGCTTGTTTGACAATTTATATGGACCTTCTGGCTGATTGCCAGTATATAATTCTGTTTTTAATGTATAAAAAGTTCTAGAATCAACTAGAACATATATTTTCAGACCATATTTTGATGGTTTATTTGGCATATATTGCCTAAATGGACATTTTCCTTTGAATGAATAGTAACATATTGTCCAGCAGAATAAGAATTATTGCAATTATCATTAAAAATATCAAAAATTTCTCTAATATGATCAAGTGCTTTCCTTGTATTTCTTGTATTCATATCATCAAATCTAAGCACTTTCAATAGAAATTTGAATCTATTTATATTCATAGTATATCTAAATAAACACCAAATCCATCCTTATTCCATAAATCTCTTATATTTTGATGACTGGATTTATAAACTCCGGCTATCATTAGTAAACCAACTAAGGCATTCAATTCATTTTCATCCATTTTGGATGATAAACAGAGTCATCTTTTTCAATGGACTCAATCTTTTGATTTGTATATTTTAAAACTAAATCTGTAATATTATGTGAAATGAATAATTTGAGGCTTTCTATGGTGATTTTGCATTTTTTGCATGAGATTTAACCCCTGGCAAATATAATATTATATTATGGGATCTTGTCCTTTTTGTGTAAGGCATTCCATATTACATTTAGTTTTTCCATCTTTACCTTCATATTTTTATATAATTTATTAAAGACTAGCATATTTTACTGTGACAATATTTATAGCTATCTTCACACACATAATATCTATATTGTCCTCCTCTGTCTCCGAGTTGTGATTGCTGTTATACAAATAATCATCATCTGACTCAAAATCTACTTCACCTATATAAATTTTATAAATATCAAATATTAAATAGAAAATACTTCCAGCACTTGATGATATTAAATTTTCCATATGCTAATTTTATAGTATTTTGCTCCACAAGAAAAAAAAATAGTATAAAATTTTAAAATTTTGAGTAACAATATAACAATGAAAAATTTACAAATAAAATTTTTTTTTTCAATTTTATATATTAGTTTGTAATATACAATAATATTTATCAATAAAAAAAAATTGTGAAAAAAAAAATTACTTAAGTACAAAGGTGGACCTATACTACCCCAAGCTCAACAAATTGCAAATATTTTAAAAAATATCAAATCAATTATCTTGAAATTTGGTAGATATATTCTTTATAAGAAAATATTAAACTACTATAAAAACTAGGTCAAAATATCTTCAGGTTTTTTATTACCAAGATTATAAAAGCCGTGGGGTATTATTTACCCCACCTTTGTAGTGAAGGGTTAAACAAAAATAATGTTGTGGAAGTTGAGAAAATAAAATAATTTGAAAAAAAAAATTGATAAAAATTAATATAAAACCCCAATAAAAACATGACAAAGGAATTGATTAAAGATAGAATAAATTTGATGAAATTAAAAGCTCGAAAATTAGAAAGAGAATACAAAAAAAAAGATATACTAGGAAAGTTGTTATATCCCTTTAGTCATACTAAAGGGAAATTAAGAATAGAAACCTATTTTTGGAAGATGCCTCAAAAAAATAAATTAAGAGATATATATTTTTTTTATCTTTCAAAGTCATATTTTGAAATAATGTCAAAAGTAAATCTATTAAATAGATTTGGTAATTTGAGCTAATTTCAAAGAAAAAAATATTACTAATGAAATTAGTTTTCCAAAATAAAAATTAATTAATATTTATTTAAAATCGTGTTATCATCATTAGCAACAATTTCTATTTAGGATGTTATTTTAAACTGGAAGATGATAATTTCTTTATGCCGGTGGGAGGGGCTCAAGAAAAATATTGCATTTTGATACCTTCAAACTCTGAAACAGGTCATTGGTTTTTTTTAAAATCATATTTCAAATTATATTAAAAAATATAAGAAATATTTCCATTTTTTTTAAATTTTAATAAAGCCAGCTTTTAGAAAATTAAGATAAAACTCAAATTTGATAAAAAGAAATTCTACAAATCCTTAATTTCTTTTATAAAAATGATTAGATTTTTTATTAGATTAGACTATAACCGGTTGGCACTCACTTTTTGACAAAAAAATTATTTTCCAAATTATAAAATCATAACACAAAATATTTAGGTTGTCAAATAAATCTGATGTTTTCCAATGCAAATGGAGGCTACCTTAATCAATAAATCTTACTCTTTCTATACCAGCTATAATTAAAAATGTAAATAATAATCCAGAGTAAAAAGTTATTAATTGTTTATTTAATTATATGTGTTTTGGGTCAACAAGACAACAAGATTTTTAATTTATTCATAATACTAGCATCAACACCACTGGAACTTAGGTATTCAGCTTTTTCAAAGTGATTAAATATATGCGCAATTTTGCTTTGCCCAACCATTTTTCTCACCCTATAGACGTTTACAGTTTACGGTTTGTCGTGCGTTCAAGTACGTGTTACTTATCCCCACAAGGAAGGGCTTCTTATTTTTTCTTTTCCCTAAATTAAATATCCAGTTTAATGGATTATGATTAAAACCTAGTAGTGATCTGAATAGGGCCTAATTTTTCAAACCCTGCCAGAAATTTTTTTATAAAGTTTTGCCTGGCCCGAACCCAAAATTTTTTTCTTAAAATTTTGCCCGGCTTGAATTTATTTAAAACTAGAAATTAATAAAAGGATAAGTCCTATTCAAAAAAGGAAAAGTTTCAATTATAAAAAGAAAAGGTACGATCATAAAAGGAAAAAGGTCACAATCATAAAAGGAAAATGTTCAATTAAAAAAAGAAAAGGTCCAAACAAAAAAGGAAAAGTGTCAATCAAAAAAGGAAAAGGTTCAATTAAAAAAGAAAAAGTGTCAAACAAAAATGGAAAAGGTCCAATTAAAAAAGGAAAAGTGTCAATTGAAAAAGGAAAATTCTCAAAAGGAAAGGAAAAGTGTCAATCAAAAAAGGCATTCAAAAAAGGAAAATTGTAATTTTTTTATAATTTTTTGTCAATTTTTATTTATTTTTGCTATTACTTCATAATTTATTTCAAAATTTGTCGATTTCTTTACATTTTTTTACTTATTATATCTTTTCTCAGTTTATTTCTACCCTTTTGCGATTTTCTTTATTTTTATTTTTCTTACTATATCTTCTCTCAATTTATTTTTCTTCTCATTTTTGATAATTTTTTTTATTTTTAAAAATAATTTATAAATTTAGGTAAATTATAACCAAACGATTAATTTAATTTATCAATTGTATTATATTGTCTGCCAAAAACAATAAATATAATTTTAAAAAATAATTATCAAAAATGAGAAGAAAAAAAATGAGAAAAGCTCAATATCATAAAGATTAAAAATGACTTAAAGATATTGAGAAGGATAGAAATGTATGTAAATGATTACAATGAATAAATCATAAAAAGAATAATGTATGTATGATGAAAAAAAACGTAAAGAATTGTTAAAAAAATCGTTCTAAATTTATAAATTATTTAAAAAATACAATAGAATTCAAAAATGAGAAGAAGAATAAATTCAGAGAAGATATAGTAAGAAAAATAAATGTAAAGATAATCGCAAAAAGTTAGAATTAAATTGAGAAAAGATACAGTAAGAAAAAAAAATGTAAAGAATCGCAAAAATTTAGATATAAATTAAGAAGGAATAAATAAAATAAATAAAAATTTTAAAAAAAATTATGATTTTCCTTATGGGAATTTTTCTATTTTGATTGACACTTTTCCTTTCCTTTTGGGAATTTTCGATCTTCGATTGACACTTTTCGTTTTTTGATTGGACCTTTTTTGTTTGACAATTTTCCTTTTTTGATTTTTTCTTTTTTGATGGCTTTTCCTTTTTGATGGCTTTTCCTTTTTTGTTGACACTTTTCCTTTTTTGATCTGACTTTTTCCTTTCTTTTTGGGAATTTTCCTTTTTTGATTGACACTTTTCCTTTTTTGTTTGGACCTTTTCCTTTTTTGATTGAACCTTTTCCTTTTATGATTGAACCTTTACCTTTTTTGATCGGACCTTTTCCTTTTATGATTGAAACTTTTCCTTTTTTGAATGGGATTACTCAAAATAAACGATATATGTTATTTGGCGTCTACTTTTTATAAATAAATTATTTTTATTTTACATAAAAATTCAATGTAAAATTGATAAATTTAAATATATTTTAAAAAATTTATAAGGCCCGACACCACCCGGCTAATTTTCAAAAATATTAGGCCCGGCCCCCGCCAGGTTCAGGCCGGATACGGGCCGGGCCTACTTTTGCAGATCTCTAAAACCTACCGTATCTCTGTTGCTTGTCTAAACTAGAGGGCTTAACCCTGAGATCACGTAACACGTAAATTTTCTGGGAATTAATGGGTATTTTTTTTTCATTCATAATGCAATAGGATAAAAATATGGTCAGTAAAACAATATTAAAATTAAAATATTCAAATGTAGATTATTATTTGAAATAATAAAATTTTTTCTATTTGTATTTAAAAAAAACTATTTTATCGGCGTTAGAAGAAGTGCCATGATTGTGGACAAATAAATCGACGAAAAAATTCGCAACTAATTTAATTGAGCTAGGATGACACAGAAATTATTTGATAGTTTTAAAGAAAAATTTTTACTGAATGGACTTAATCAATATATATCTATTTTAAATTAAATAATATCCACCCTCCCCGCCCCCCTTCATATGCTTTAAAGCGAAAGAACATGTCCAATAAGCTTAGAAGACATATGTAATTTGTCAAAATTTTAACCTTTTAACAAAATATAATTCTCATTTTTATGGTTGGCTATGAAAAATTCTGTCTTATTAAGTAAAAAAAATAGATTTTTTCCTCTTATCTTAGGATTAAAATATTATAAAATAAATATTTAAATATTTAAAAATGTATAAATAATTTATAAGAATGGAAAAATAAAAAAGACCTAAACCTGGCATAAAAAAATCTTCTGGAATAAATTTCTTTTGAAGTTTATGCATATTTTCTAGACCCTGTCCGAATTGAAACGAATCATAATCCCAAAAATGTTCTTGTTCGAATACTTTATCTTGATATTGTTGCTTTATAAAAATAATATTTATGCTTTAGAATGCTGAATATTGGTTAAAATATTCTAATATTGTATACCCTATTAAATCCATTTTAATAATAAGGTTAGATTATTTTATGAGACAATATATTATATTTGAAATATACATAATTGGATTGAGGAATGAAGATAACGGAAGTTCATAAAAGATAAAAGTATAATAATCAATTTCATTGTAAATTTTAGCTTTCAAATATGCAGACCATGATATATATATAAACATAAATTAGCACGAGCTAGCATCATTTTTACTGAAGAGAATATAATTATTAGCATGTTTTAACATTTTTTTTGGTATTCTTACATATAAAAACATAGTAATAATAAATGAGTGAACATTATTGCAAATAAAATTATTAGTAATCAATTTTAAATTAATTTTCAAAGTGTCATAGAAATAATGATTAATTTTAATTTAAGATTTTTAAAATATTAATGAAAACAATTACCCGGATATCTTTTAAATAGTTTTATTGATGAAAAGGATGGAATAAAAATCAGTGAATTGTATTCGTTTGCATTTTTTAAAATACTTATCCTTTTTAAAGTAGGTTAATTTGAAAAATTCCTTATAAATTAAGGAAGTAAATTTTTTTAAAATATATTCATCCCTATTTATTTTAATTAACAAAATATTATAAAAATCAAAGACCAGAAGAAAAACCATTTGCATGGCGACCAGGCCCAGTTTTTTAAAAAAAATAATATTTCGCACCGAACATACCTGTTTTATATTTTCAGGCCTTACCCAGTTGAGGATTTAAAAAAAAATATATTATAAATATTTTTAATTTTTTAACCAATAATGGAATTATAAAATATTCGGTTTT